TAGCAGCGATTGGTCCAGCTGATTGTAATATCCTCAACGCACCAACGAGTCTAGCATCTCTCTGGCAATTTTTTATGAGATCTTTCCACGCAAAGAGCTTTATGGCATCGCGTCAGATCTGTACTGTAACTTCTTGGCGCATTTCTCTTTGTTTGTTTATAAGCGTGTACATTCTTTGTAATTGTAAATGAAAAAAAAACATTTCATTGTTAAACGCTTGAATAACTTATTACCCTGCTTTTGGTTGATTTCCCTCTTCCTCTAGAATACTTTTCTCTTTCCCGCTGCGATCATCGTGCAAATTATTACATAATTAATCTTTGTTTAAAGTTTGTAAAAAGAACTTTAGAATTAGCAGAGCGCGATTGTACAAAATGTTAAATTTTTATCTCTTTGATTTTGAGTTCATTGTTAAAATCTCCTTAGAAAAAAAATTCTGTAAATATTAATTCTGATTCATGTTCGTTTCAAAATTTCCTTAATTGGTGTATTATATAATACATATTTGCGAGTTCAGTGTATTTTATAAATCAATGTATCTTTGCTTAAAGTAATTGAACGATTCTTTTTTATTTTAAGGTAAAAAGTTCGAGAACAAGAGATTAAATACGTAATTTAAAATTATGTAAAATTGTGAAACAAATGGTTATAAATAATTTTTTATAACATAGATGAAAGAAATATCCACTGGATCCTTGCATACCGATTAAAGACATTATGGAGCAAATACCGATTAGGGTTTATACTTAAGTATTTTTGTTTAAGGGGATTTTCTTAATAAACTTAAAATTAACGAAATAAAAAAATAAACACTTTATACAGTGATAATTCTGAGTTTTAATCAAATTTTGAATAAAGATTTATGATATAATTAATTTGATTATATTGATTAATGATTATAATTATTTATCTACATATGAATAACAGTACTTTTAATATTTAAAATAAGTAATTATTCACTAAAGCTTAATAATTAATTACACTGCATTAAATCCTTATAGAAATTTAATACTATAAATATTATAATATTTATATAGTGACTAAGAAATATAATTACTATGCAAGTTTCTCGGGACGTCTTCTAAAAAGAAGCGAATAACGTTAGATGAGAATTATTATGCTGTAACTTTGCAGTCGCAGTCAACTGTGTCCGAAGTTGGCTTAAATCCGGCTTTCTTTTGCCGAAACGACCAGAAATTTTTCGGTAACAGTCCTGAAATGTCCCGCGACGTGTTAACCTATACCTAATGAAAAATTCATCATGTCGAAAAAGCTGCAAATAGTACGAGTAGACAACGATTTAGTGCAGAAAGCAAATTTGTTGATCGGCAACAATATCATCGGTCGCGGCGCCGCGACAGGAGTGAGTTGTATAATTGATTTTTTGTAAAAATATTCTACTAAGACGTCATAGGAATTGTCGTCCCGAACGAAAGAGACACTCCTTTATGACAAATAATTCTGTAATTGGACAAATTGCGTGGAATGAAATAAAAAAATGACTGAAATTCTAGCTACTTAAGCCTTCGAATTCTATTTTGAATTCGTCTTTCAACTCGCTATATATCTATCAATCTGAGGTCTGGATCTTTTAATGTCTATCTCGAATTAAGATAGACAGACGTTAAATATTACTCTCGCATTTCTGACTCGGGTTGCGGTTGGCGTTGACGTATGCGAACGGATAAGCTGATGCGTCAAGATTATCCATGTAATCATTTTGTCGGATGATTCATGGCTACGCTTGGGAGATTTGAAGTTTACCGCATCGACGTTAGCAGAAAATGTACACACGGAGACATAAATGCGTCTCATCGCGTTAAGTTGCTACATATTGCTTTGAAATATATGAAGGTTTAGGGAGCGCGTAAAACGACTTTTATAGAAATTTTATATACTAGTATTGATTAATTACTAATTAATTACTTATTTTAAGTATTAAAAGTACGATGAACAAAAATATTGTGTAAATGTTACTCTTAAGGCCGTCTACAATGGGCAGTAGCAGTATGTTGTAAAAGGCTATAAGACACGTCGGGAGTAAGTTGATTTTTTGGTATAATGGGACATAAAGTAAGTCCTTAAGTAGATAATAATGTTCTACCTTTGTTTTTTGTTCATAAAGTAAGTTCTTAAGTAATAAGAGAATAGAACGCAGGAAATGGATTTCTATCATTCATTTACAGACTAGCTTACTTTGCGCCCTATTATATTAGAAAACCAGCTAGCTTACTCCCGACGTGTTTTACAGCCTTATTTACCACTGCTACTGTCTTTTATTGTGGACGACGTATAACATTTTGTCGTCTCCATTTTCACCTTCTAAGAAGGTTTGTTTACGTTTCTGCTAATATCTCTCCTTACATTTCTCTTATAAAAATTTAATACTACAGAAAAAATCTTAAATCGAGGGTATGTTGCGTAAACAACAATATTACAATCATACTTCAAAGATTTTAGTCTTGATTTGATTAAATTTGTAGTGACGCAGGATTTTTAGTCTTGAATTGAAATTAAAATAATACTTTTACATCAATAAATTTAATCAAATTAAAACTAAAATCTTTGAAGCAGGATTACAATGTTATTATTGCTTGTATATGAGCTTAATAATATTATCGATTTAAGACTAATGTTTTTTTCTGTGTATGAATTATTAAAAGTTTTGTTTATTTATATTTCGAATATTAAAAGTATTGTGAACAGTACACAGTTCACAGTATTTTCAATATTCAAAATAAGTGATTAATTATTCAGATATCTAATAAAATATCAAATTTCTTTAAGGAAAATGTGAGCTGAAGTTAATAAAAGCGTATAAACGAATTAAGCTTCTAGGAGACGATAATTAAGATAACAAGACATAAAAAGAGCTTACACTTTCATATTTGACTAACTCATCGATTTTTATTTTCGGCAGGATAAGGTATATATTTAGACTGCCAAATATTTGCACATTATTACTAATTATTTAAAAATAACTTATCGATAACGTTATCTCGAAACGAAATATTATTGTTTGACATATGTTGCTTTTATTACAATAACGATATAATTTCAAAATTGTTATTTTTTAGTTGCTTGCAAAAGAATAATAGAGAAACATGTAAACAAAAAAAAAAGAAAAATGTATTTTAAAAAAACATTATACTTTTATTGCTTTACAATCAATGTGAGCCTTCCAACAAGCGACACAGTACAACAGTGTGTCATCTGTGTCATTTGTTGGAAGGCACCCATTTTTATTATAACAAAATTATTATAGTAAAAGAAAAAATAATCGCCATTAAAAGCCGACATAAGTTGAAAGCATGTAAATTCAAACTTAATATAATAAAATTCAATAATATAATAAACGTTTCAACCCTATATTTACTTATATTGATAAGGACCCGAATATAGGGTTGAAATGTTTATATATCATTGCGAATTTTATTATATTAAATTTGAATTTACACATGCTTTCAACTTATGTCGGCTCTTAATGGCGATTATTTTTTCTTTTACTGATTTATTCACATGAGCCTTATAAATTATTTTGTATTATTTTATAACAAAATTACATTTAAAAAAAATTAATATTATAAAATTTTAACGATTTAAAACATTGAAATTTGTACAATATAAGAATCTTATTAAACTCTGTACATGTGAGAACACAACCAAAAATAGAAATTAAAGGCCTATATATGCATACAAATCATATTGTCATGATTACATCATTTGTAATTATTTTTTAATTGCATGCCGAAATTCTTTTTTTGAGAGATCCGGGTTTTGATCCCGATAGAGATAATAGATTTGTTCTTTATATCTTCAATTTGTTGTACCGTTCGAAGAGTGCAGCAATAAAAAACAAACCTAATATTTTTCTCAATAAATAAATTTATTTACAGATTTCTATCATATTAAAATTTCTATACTATAATATTTCTATACTATATTATAGATATGCCTATTAAGCATTAAAATTTAATTGTGATATTTATTATTTCGAGTTTTTAGTTGCGTTTTTAAGTCTGAAAAAATTTCGGCGCGCAGTTCAAAAATAACTACAAACATATATATCCTATATAAAATATATATAGTATTTATATATAATTCACATTGAATTATATTTAAGCATCAAATATCCAGCTTCGGTCTTTATATAGGCCAGTAATTTCTATTTCTTATTGAAATTTGTTTTCTGGCCGGAAAACTTCGTTTTTTTGAGTTGTGTAGCAAATATTATAAATATCGTTATTGTATAGCAACAAGCGATACTAACGTTTGACCAATAATACGACATTAATATTATATTACATTAATACAATATTAATATAATAATATATAGCAAACATAATGTAAGTAATTATATCTACGTATAATAACGATAATATAACAATAACATCTCATAACGTAATAATAAATATGTTTAATAAATAGAATTAATTAAAATACGCGAAATTATTAGACTAAACAGGAAGCACGCGCTTTGAATCCTTTGAATTACAAATACATTTTACGCAAGTAAAAGGCGTTTATGGCAGATTATGGCTCCGTCTGTACGTGCCAATATCACGTGCGCCGATAATAGCCGATAATGGCGCATTTGACTGCGTCACTCCTGTAAAATGCTTATCAGATCGTATTGAAAAATTCGTCGCGCATTTAGAACCAAGCGCGGCTAGGAAAATGAGCCATCGAAACGATAATTTCAGCACAGATGATAACGTAGAACTACAGTGACATCGAATTTTCCTATTGCTAGAAAACTTAATTATTGCGTTACAGACGCATGCATATGTAAAGGATACAAAGATGACTAAATTCTAAAGAAAAAAAGAATACATATATATGTATTAATGAGACGTAATAGACGTAATTCTCGAGAATAATTTTGTATCAAACACAGTTGATAATGTCGGCGTTCTTTAATTATCTCCGGACTTCGCAAATTTACCTACGATTTATTTCGTGCTGCATTTCGTCGATGATTCGTTCGACAATCGACTGTCGGGCGGCGCAGTGAATTTTGAAACACTGTTTACACGTTGAAATCAACTGCTGTAATCGACGATTTGTGTTGTAACATTTGAAAGTACACTCGAGAGTATCTTCGAACGTTCTTATCAATTAAATGTAATTATAAGGATAACATAAATCTAAAATTGCTACAAGTCGAAACGAGAAAACGCGACTCGAAATGATTCTGAGTCATTAAAAATATGAACGATGACGTGTTGATTGACGATTTTTTTCATTGATAATTGTTTTATTGTTGACTAGAATTAAACAACTGATTCTTAACGTTTCTCGACGAAATTTAACAATTTTTACTATTATTGCAGTGCAACGACGATCAGGTGCTAAAACACGCCGTCACTATCAATTTGTCGCCCAATGATGAAATGACGATTACTCCGGTAAAGTTTCCTGTTTCGAGTATTCTTTATCATTCGGCATATATTAGTACTCTGATAATAACACTAAACTCTCCAGTAATCTCTGATAATTCAGTTGATAACAACGATAAGAAATTAATGATTTATATAATAATAGCTTTTGTAGAAGGAAATTGTGTAATGTATAAACTTTTTTATATTTGTTTTTCGTAATAGCTTCCCAGTAAACACTAACTTATACGTATATAACAATAATATCACATAATTTGACATTAAGCAGTTTAACATTTAACTGTACACTACATGTGTTGTGTTATATTGATATTGTTGAGTATGAAATTAAAAAATTTTAATGATATATTGTTAGATAAGTTTGTTTTTACAATATATATATGATATTAATTAAAAATTAAAAAAATATTTTTCCCAGTAAACACCAATTAACAGTAACATAACAATTTGTAACTTAATGCTCAACAATTTAACTGTTACATCACATGTGTTGCATTACATTTATATTGTTGAGTGTGAAATTAAAACATTGGTGTTTTATTGTTAATTAAGCTTGTTTTTATAATATATGGTTAGTTAAAAATTAAGAAAAAAATTTATTTTTCAGTAAATATCATCTAAAATCGATGTTATAATTTTATATTTAACAATGTAACTGTTATATGAAATGTGTTATAATATTTATATTGTTAAGTGTGAAAAATTATAACATTGATGTTGTCTTTTTTAGTTGGTATTTATTAGGTTATAAATATAACAGGCTTAATAACCTTTAATCTTTGGATAATCATATCATGAAGATAGGCTATTTTATTGGGTTAGTTATTTTTTTAATGTGTGTAGTTGACGACATCAGTTTTCTATAGAGACCATTTTCCAGTATTAGGTGGCACCATGTTATATGAAACCTGCTGGATGTGCACGATGGCGATCTCTTAAATTGGGAAGCAGTGTGCCGATAAAGCCAGGTGACGTTTGCTCTTTGCTGCCTGACAAATGTTGGTTCAAGATCATCTCTACAGACACAATGCAGGAAGGTGATCAAACGTTGAAGAGAAAGGTACAGCAATTTCTTGTTGACTATCTGAAGACAACTTTACACGAGGAATCTTCTTATTAGGGTTTTTTGCATTTCAGATTGATGAGGAAGATTTGAATAATGAAGTGGACAAGAAGAAGGCCTGCTTATTGTCGAGTATGGAAGCTGTTGTGTCTCCTGACAAAACTTTGAATAACATTCTTGAAGATAAGGATCTACCAAACGAGCGTATGGATTGTCCCATTAATGGAAATGGAGAACACAGAGACGAAGCTGCTTCAGTTTTGCAGATCAATCCTACAAGGTTTTACTTTAATTACATGAGCAGGAATGTCTGACGATAAAAGTGCAATTGTTCACTCTGTGTCTTTCTTCACGATTTTTTTAGTTCGCCAAAGGAAAATGATATGACCGCGACAAGTTCCAAGATGTCAACAGATTCTCAAAATGTAATTGAACCTCCTGTTGATCACGAGAGTAACAAGAAGCGAAAAGTAAGGAATATTAATTTAACAAATAAAGCCGCGACAAATGGTGAATCAGGCAAGAAGATCAAATGGGATTGCGACGTGCACATTAATGATCAAATCGGAGAAGTTTTGTCCCACAATCCTCAGTCCCCCTCAGTTGCTGCGCCTCAAGATCGACCGAGTGCGTCAAATCCTGGTAGAGTACCCAGAGAAAAATGTATGTACGGTGCTCGATGTTATCGGTAAGTCATATAGTTCAATTTCTTATCAATAGGTCTATTCTTTCTAGAAGAATGTTCTTTACAGTAAGGTGATGTAATAAGTTGGAGTGAAACAAATGGCCTTTTCTCTTAGAAGACACAGTCACGAACATCGTTCTATCTTTTTTGGCATTCAACGAATAATAAAAAAAGAAACGACATACTTGCGTTGATCGCGTTACCTAAAAGAAAAACAGTCTATATTTGTTTCACTTCAACTTATTACATCACGTACCAGTATATATTAATTCAGAATACTGTTCAAAAATGAACAGACTTAAAAAATAATTCTGTTACAGTACAATGTAGATTGAAAAAACTTAAAATATTTTAAAATTCGCAGGAAGAATTCTAATCACAAGAACAACTATAGTCATCCAGATGATTCAGATTACGACGAGATTGACAATCGGGAAGAATGTCCATATGGCGTAAAATGCTATCGCAAAAATTTACAGCACAAAGCGCAGTTTAAACACATCTCCACGCCGCGTCGTCGTCGAAGAGCCGCCACTCCCATGCACTCAGTAGTTGTCGATACGTCTGAAACAGAAGCGTCATCCGCGGACGAGTCTGTTGACGAGTCTGATTACGAGCCGTCCGTGTATACAGAAAGTTCGGATGATTGGGACGACAGGAGTGAATTAGAGGACGATACAACTGGCTAACGATCATCGATCTTCAATGTCAAATTGGATTCTATATTTTCGAAAGTGTCCAAATTATTGATGTAATATATAGTGCAGATCTATTTTGTTACAGAATATTTATTTTTATATATGAATTTAAAATATTACATTCTTGCATATCTATTTGATTTATTTAAAGAGATATATATATATATATATATATATATGTAGATATAAATAATATGTCACAACCAACTCTTTTTTATGTCGGAAAGTGTTATAAATATATTAATCTGATGCGTGAAATATGAAAATATAAAACTTTTATAGATATATATATATATATATATATATATATGTAGATATAAATAATATGTCACAACCAACTCTTTTTTATGTCGGAAAGTGTTATAAATATATTAATCTGATGCGTGAAATATGAAAATATAAAACTTTTATTTTTATAAATACTACCTAAAATAATTTTTTTATTTAGAGATAATAAGTTAGATAAGCTTTTGTGTAATATTTATAAAATTAACAGAAATTAACGAAAACTAACACAAATAATTAATATAAAACTGAAACAATCGATGATATACTACTGGAAGAGTACAATTTTCTTTACACAGAAAAAATTTTATGGTTGTTACAACCGGAAATAATTTTCGCCCATCAATATATTTGGTTCTAATAATAATAGGATAGATATATCTTAACAGCCATAATTGTTAAGATATAGCATCTTACGGTTATTACACAATCATATTATAGTTCTTATAGTTAAAAAAAAATGTATTGATGGGCAACTTTTGGTTGTGACAACTGTATCTGTTTCTTTTCGCGTATCAATTAATTTTCAATTCAATATCATCAGCTGTATAAAATATTATCAATTACTTTTATCTTGCATCAGATTGATAAAAGCCCACAATCACTGAAAAATAAATAATCTGCGTTGAAAGTGATTTCTGCTGTCGTGTATTAAAACGCCTGATATCCCTCATCGTCCTCAGTGGCGTATTCCTCAGTTGCCGCAATGGCCATATCGGCCAACATATGCTTTGGTATTTCAGATCCTCGCACTTTAATAGTGTAACACGCGTTTTCCATTTTGGTCAAACTGCGTTTCAGCGTGATGATTTTCTTGTTTACTTCGTTGTTATGCACAACACCGGTGTAGCCCAAGAAGGCTATGTATATCTTTCTGACAAAATTACATGTTTGATAACAACTGTTTACGTCGCCTATCGCCAAGTTGTTGATACACTTTCGCATCAGCTCTCCGGTCAGATCAGCTATTCCTAGGATAAAGTCCGTCGGCGTGACCATGACCTGTACCGTCTTGGAAGTACTCTGTTCCAGCGAATCGGTTGGAGATGAAATTGTGTGATATTTCAATGTTTTTTCCAGAGCGGACCAGTCTTGCATATCACCATTCTGCAGATATTCGTGAAATGTGAGCGCTTCTATGTATTCTTCTAAACCGGCGCGATAGGCCCTGTGGAATTGATAAGCGTCCTGACCTTCCAGCTCATTTGCGATATTTCGAAACAACTTCTGTATTACGTTATCCAGTCTCGCCTTGGCTGTGTCTAGCACAGCGTTCCGTTTACTCTCCTTGTCGATGGTGTGCAACAGAAAGATGATTCTTTTGCTCTCAATGCCCACATCTCGATTGATTTTAAAGATTCTTTCATAACGATCGTGCTTGGTATCTAGTTCAACCGCATATTCACGAAACTGTTGTATTACTCGATTGTTCTCGTTTATGTCCTCCATCACTTCCTTGCCTTTGTCACCAAGATTGATTATTTTATCCTTATCATGATGTTTGCGATTTCTCCTACCTGCAAATAGTGCCAATGTAAGATAACAGAAACAGATGTTCTCTCATGGTCGATACTTATATTTAAGACTATTTTAAATATACGAATCAAATATAAAAAAACATTCTTAAGATATCATTAAATTAAACTTTGCTAGGCAAAATAATTAAATTATTTTAAATATCAAATACAAAATACTTTTATATGCTCCACTGAAATACAAAGTACAAAATACAGACTATGTGTGTTTATGTGTATATTTCAAATACAAGTATTTGTAATATGTCCAGCTTTGGAGATATCATGATCAAAAAGCCGATATTCATAATCGAATCTTATATTTAGGACTGTTTCAAGTACAGTCATAAACCAATCAGAAGGATGTATTAGCGTCTTAAAACATTATTTAACATAACCTTAAAATAAGAATCAATTATGAATATTAGTCAGAGAGTCATATTAGTGTAATAAGACATTGCTTAAGCAGAAATAAGAATGGACTATAGTCAATATCACATGTTTTAAGACGCTAATGCATTCTTCAGATTGGTTTGTGACATCTCAAGACTAAACTTATGATGGTCTTGAATCTTGAATATAAGAAATGGCTATGAATACTGGTCTTGAATATCAACTTAGTATAAAGTTACAGATTATTTAAGATAATATGTTATTAGTACTAAATTAATGTGCTTATTATAGCAAAATCAAACCAATGTGAGAAGGGAAGAACAAATATCTAGTAATCTGCAAAGTTATAGACTATTTAAAAAAAGTTGATTATTACATACATGTCTATTATAGAAAAATCAAGCCAGGTGAGAAAATTAAACAAATATTTTAGTAATCTGTAACAAAGTTGCAAACTATATAAAAAAGTAATTGTATTATATATCAATTATAATATAATCCAGTTGTGATAAATATTAAAGAAAAATTGTATAGGTCTCAATCAACATGTTTACCTTATGATGGCATACAAAAATAGAGCATTAAAATATATAACGTTAATATAATTATAAATTATTTTAAAGAAAAAAGTAAAGAGGTAAGGAATTTGGATTGTTACAAAAGCAATATATTCATAGCAATGTATGGTATAACCCACTTTCTTCAGAATTTGAAGGTATCAATTCTCGAAGAGATCCCTCAATCTTGAAATTAATCCCCCTCAAGCTCTTTCTCTCTTCAAAAGCTGATCTATATCACCGCCGCCACAAACTTCCGAGGATAAGCTTATCAGCTGTCATACAGTCTCTCGTTCTCACGTGGAATCGACATTTCTTGACAACGAAGACAAAACGAGGAGATTCGCAGATCAGCGACTCACCTCTTCCCTGCGACATCGCGATTCTTCTTAATAATCTCCTTCGATTAATCTGCGCTCGTTCTTGTTGACAGCATACAAGTAATACAGGGCGACAGAATTGACTTGTGGACTACTTTCATATGTCGTGACGCTATGGCAGATATTTTAGGGGCGACGGAAGGGTGTAATTCCAATTTTGGTGCCACAGAGCCAGGCGGCAGCACCGTGTTAATTCGTGTTGCGATCGCCACCAGAAGTCCAACTAATACGCACTATCTTCTTAAATTGCGTTTTAAATATATGTCAACTTTTCTATCCCCAAGAAACGCACAGCATCAAAATCTGAAAATTATTGAAAATTTTTGCGCGTTGCGCTTTATATACTTTAATAGAAAGCTAGCGGTGATCCAATCAGCGCTTGAATACGCGCTTCTAGTAGAGCATCGCGCAACATCGCGCTCATTGGTTGATTGCGGGTGGTGGGGATCGAGGCTGATCGGAGCATATAAATATAGCGTAACGCGCGGTTTCACGCTTTTGCGATTCGGACAGGGGACGGGTGTGTGTCAAGTCATATATTACGTTGGAAGTTGGAATAGTTCGCTCTCTTGTTTCGCACTGTAATCTTTCCTCTGGAAAGAATTACCACTTGGCACATACCACTATCTCCGCAAGTATTCTGGTCTTAATTATCTTCGGAAGCATCCTGATCCTCGCTATCTTCGGAAGCATCCTGATCCTTCACTTATATCTAAAGTATCCTGATCTCCGCTAACTCCAGAAGCGTCCTGATGTCCAGAGGTATCTTCATCTTTGCAGAGACTAAAACAACGAGAACGACGCGGAATTATTTACCAACGAGGTAATTACTAATAATAATTATTAAATTATCAAAATTTTGACATGCGCGACGCGAGAAATATTTTAAGAACTATCATCTTTGAACTCTCGAACGTTTTTACTCGTTTGCTCGAAAATTAAGACATAAGTGATATGGTCGCGTCTCTTTTTGTTACGTGAAGTTGATCGTACGCGGAAAACGACGCCACTTCCCTATTTTTTACATTCACGTTTCATTCGCGGAATGTGACGGGGATGACGCAGAGTGGCAGCGCAATCAAATATAATTGAAACATAAACTTTTCTATTTAATAATTTTTCGATATTTATTACGCAATTAGAGATTCGGTATTTGTATACTATAATAATCTGTTTGCGTCTTACACGATACGGTCAGATACGGTCATGATACGTAGTTTTATCCATATAAAATACGGAACGCGTTAGCTATAGCGATACTATGCTCGCGTTGCATCGCTGCAGGTCGCTGCAGGTCGCTGCAGGTATAGACGCGCAAAAACGAAGATTCTTCGTCTTCTTAGTTAAACTCTACGCGTCATTATTTAGTGATTTACAAATTGTGGTAGATATGAAACGGATTCTGAGACGAGTATATAATAGTAATTGAAACTTAAACCTATAAATTTGTCTTTTATTGCAGAGAAGGACGCGCATATTTTTACAAACGATTTGCTTCAACTGATAAATGTCCACGCAAAGTAAGGGAGGAGAAGAGAGATACAGAAGCTGGCTCGACAACTTCGTGTATGAAAAGGAGAGGGACGCCGATGGAACAACCTTGTGGTGAGTAGGCTTATTGTTTTTGTGTGCATAAAAAAAATTAGTCTTATCAGGTTATTTTATATTGATGATTAAAAGTAATAATTAATGAAATAATCTTAAATATTATATTTCGAAAGTTGATAAGATATTTAATAAAAAGATTAATAAAATATTTAACAATTTTCAAATCAGGATGAAAATACAAAAAACATTTCAAAATATGTATAATTAAAAGTAAAGGAAAATCATAAAATTTTGTCTGGAAATCAGAGAAATGTCTAAATTTTAAGATAAATAACTCGTGGTGATCCATGAATTATTTTAATGAATACGTAATTTAAAAAATATTAAAATAATTCATGGGAAAAGAGCAATGTAGAAATAATGATCATTCTATGATTATATAATATTAAATGTGAACATATTTTTTCCAGAAATCAAGAAAACGGAAACTTATTTAAGGACTATAGACAGGGTAAAGGTCCGAAAAACCAGAAGTCCTTTGGGAATTTCTTAAAAATATATAATAAAATCAGGTAATCTTGTTTTATGGCTCTTTTATCAATTCTGAGGTACGTAAAAAAATTTTTTTTGTCTCAATTACTTATATAACGGCAGCTGTACAAAGCTCAGCATCTGAGAATGGATTAAAATGGATTGGACATTTTGTCGATCCGAATTAGTATTTTAAACAGCAAAAACTTTTTTTTATTTCAATTGGATTCAATTAGATTCAATTGGATGTATCTGGATTGAAAAACTGTGTTTCCAATTCAAAATTTCGAATTGTCTGTACAGTATTCACTATGGTCACAAACGCACTGAAAAAGCTGATATTATTTTTTGATTGAAAGGTATAATATATAGATATTATATATATGCTCCATGCAATTCTTATAAATGATTAAAAACGAATTCGGATTGAAAAGAATTCATTTTAACATTCATGAATCCGTATTTCTGAAAATCTTAATCCATTTCAATCCACTCTCAGATACTGGGAAGTAACTTTGAACAGTTACTTTTGCCTCGTTGACAACAAATCGAGTATATGCGCTGTATGAAACGAAAAAATATAATAATAGTAAAAAATGAATATAGCCGGATGTAGGGTTTTAACAAAATTGCAAAAAGTAATAAAATGGCGGACATGAGAATCTTTTTATTTAATTTGGCCTTTTTTTTTGTTACAAAAAAGATGAATAAAATTGTGAAATTTTTATTAATAAAAAACGGCTACATCCGGCGACAGAAGTAAGTTTTCTGAACAAAATGCAATTTACACCAAGTTAATAGGTCGAATAGATTTTTTGGTTTGTTGTCAACTAGATTGAAAAAGATGATTTTGAGAAAAATGCGTTTAAAGTTTTATTTTTAGATTATATGTTAACTGCACATTAAAAAAATTAAAAATTTAAGTTACTTACTCTTATAAAATGTGTGTAACGTGTCTGAGAGTAAAGTGATGTCTTGGTTAAAATACACATCCTTTTTATAAAAAATGTAAACAATATTATGTTAAATATTTATAAAATTATATGTATAAAGGACTCTTGTTAATAAATAAATTTAAAAATGAATAAAGGGCATAAGAGTAAAAAATTAAAACTAATCTTATGTCAGATTTAAAAAAAAATTTTTATTACGAAGATAAAATAAGATTGATGATGTCATCAATCTTTTATTTTATCTTCGTAATAAAAAATTTGAATTTGCAAAGGCATAACAGCCGTGTGATATAAAGATAAAAAAATATTAATACAGTTATAGGAATTTTAATCCTAATAAATATTAAATATATAAGTAAAGGACTTTCGTATTCAAAATATAATAAATAGGTTAATAAGAGTGAAAGGCTAATAAAAGTCACACATCTAAAATTAAAAATTGAATCAACGCAAATATATTGACATA